ATGCATGCTGATCGATCTTCCTGAGCAACTCGAGAACGGAATTGGCACTTCATGGCGAGATCACCAAGTACAAGATACAGGCAAGACGAAATTCCTTACCCGTGTAGAGGGGAGTTATAGCAGCTTTCCATTCTTGACGTGGGGCCGGCGTATTGTCTTCTCGGAACAAACTAGGGATGAGCCTCGATGGTTAATAGGACGCTAGCTTGTCGTCGCCTACTTATGGAGCGGTAGCCGCAAGTGGTTACGGAATACGAACGTGGGGAGCCTAATATCTTTTAATAATGTATTTTGGTAAGGGCCCTCCTATATCCAGCTACTAATATAAATTAACGTAACAAAATAACTTGCTTTAGTGTCCGTGCCTTTGAAAGAGTCTCTTGCCCGGAGTGGCCCAGTTATCAGCTTAGGTACAAAGCGTTTTACCAGTTCGAAAAGGTACTGGATAAATCCGAGCCGTTAGTTACGTTATTCTCCCATATCAGCTACCATCCTGGGTAGCACCCTCCTCCCATCCCACCCGGCACGCCGATTCTGGATAGACTCTCAAAATTATGCCGCCTCTTAAACAAGGAGGTGATGGCTTTATTATATACACGTCACAAGAAGGCTGGAGGTCAGTACTTACCTATTCTACTTTACCCTAGCTTACCTGACTCACCTGGCCTACCTAGGCTGATACCCTGAAAGTGATACCAATCGATAGAGCCCACGAAAGCGATCAAAAACGCAGCAGTTCTGGTGTTATTAGGTCTTGTTACTATATGGCGCAATTAACTTGAAAGCGGTAGGCTCAGTGAAGAAGATAGAGGCAGTCGATATAGGGCGGTAGAAAAGATAGGGGTCTGCAGATACTGGGCTGTAGATTTTACTATGTACCCATAGATTTCAGCCAACTTGTATGACCTATATTATACAACAGAGTAAAAGAAAAGAGAAACAAACTTCCTCAACCTTACTTGCGTTCATAGATTATCTCCTACTCGGAAAGTGGCCGGGCTCTGGTTGGGGCCTAGCGCTTACACCATTGGTGGGCTATAAGCCTCGTGTGCTTGTCGAAGGGTATACTGACTTGGCGGTTATAGGCGGCATCTTCGGTGTGACTATTACTGGAACACGCGCATGATGCGGTTGAACGGGACTCCTATGAAACCGCCGCGGCCGCTGCCGAAGGCTTGGAAGGTCTCCGATATAACGCTGCGTAGAAGGCTCAGGGGGTAAGGGTTCTCGGCAACAGAACCGTGGCAACAATGCACTCCTAAAGCCAGAGGAAGAGCTTTCGTCACACGCCTAGATCAACCTCCAACTAAGCGCCGGTACGCCCATCCAACTATCTGTAGCCCTAGCCAGTTACTAACAATCTCGATCGGCAGGCGGGGAAGTCAGCAACAAGTCTACCATGTACCAAGCGAATGCGATCCTCGAAAGCAACGGCCGCGCGAAGAAAGCCACTATACGATGGGCAGGCTAGCCGTTGGCTCAATCGCCGCAAAGAAGAGCTCCACGCGGTGAAAGCAAAAGTCCAAAGCTTGGGTCTGGAAAGCTGCGCAAAGCCGTGATAACCTCAAGCAACTGTTCGAAGCTTATAAGAAAGTTCACGAAGAGGACCACTTCCGCCGCGATAGCATCTGGAACCCCCAAGAGACTGGTTTCCGCATTGGGGTTCTGAATAGTGGCAATACGACCTGGACGTACGTGGATAACCAGGCTGTTATCCGTCCCGCGAACCGAATCCATCACACTGGATGTAAAGACCCAGCCGATCTAGACGCAGGCAGGCTTAGTCATGTCCGGGTCAAAGAATGATGGCCATTGAAACCTGGCCAGCACGAAGCCGCTGTCCATATAAGCGCGGTCTGTCGGGCCTCCATGTTAAACAGCCGCCATTTTCCTGTCGTAGAGGGTGGGGGAAAAAAGGGGGGGGGGGGGGCGCTCTCACAAGTATCACAAAGCCACACATAATCCCGAAACGTCCTGGCATCGATGCCAGTGTCGCCGTGTCTGTACGAAGGCAGGCTGGCCCAGTTCGTGTAACCGCCGTCGCAGTGGCACCATGTCGCGCTGCTGTCGCTGAGCGGTTCCAGGGTCCTCGTCTGCAGGTCTGACTGGCCCCCTTGTGACTCTTTGCCGAGCGGGACCAGCGGGAACGGCGGATCCCCTACGGCAGTGTCTTGGCATGAGGAACCACTACCGTGGAACTAATCACGTAATTAGTGTACCTACCTACCTTTCATTCAGAGGGCGTTTCTGGGCAAAGTCCTCAAAAAGGGTTGTCGTCCTTGTAAGTTTCACCGCCAGAGTTTATAGACGGCAGGGATCAGAGGCTCCTGACCCGGTGGATTAAGATAGTCAGAGCCCAATACGGCATGAGAGCCAAGACGGAAAGACATAAGCAAGTCATTCCGGGTCCGGCGCGAAACCCCGAGAGGTTAGCTCGATAATTTCGTCTGCCATGATTGGTTCATTTTGGCATGATCAAGCTTCGCGCTGCTTCCGTTGACCGCCTGGTAATCCGATATGGCAAAAGAAGGCTTCATCCTCTCAATAGTGATCTACGAAGTTCCCCCGATGACAAGGAAAACAACGGCTCATGTGTTCGCGTTGTGATACACGAAGTGTAAGTTCTCACTTGGACCAGCATCCAACTGCGGGAAAACCGTGATGCAGAAATCCACATGCAGGGACGGATCACCAGTTGTAGTTCATCCATATGCCGTCCTCTTGTGCCCTGGAGTGGGATGACTGACGTCTGCGCGCGCCACATGAAAGAGGGAACAATGAGCATGGGCCAGTTAGCGGGCCCTGCGTAATGTAGGAAGAGTATAGATAGATCTCGGCTGTGGCCGAAGTAAATGAAGAAAACAACCTTCTTACCAACTAATTTGGAACTCATTGCTATAAGTGTCATTCTTTGTGTTTTTACACACAGCAGTTCCACCCATGAAAATATATGACCGTTGACAACAATGCCGCTCACTTCTATGACGCGTCGTTACTTGTCGTCTCATTCCCACAGCTGACCCTCGGTGCGTCCCTCAGGTAGGTACTTGGCCAGCATCTCAGAGACAGAAACCACCTTACTCCCCTCTCTTACATCCAGTTCAAGCCCATCTCCAGGATACACGCAAGCCATCTCCACCCTCGCGTCTCCACGATCATCATCACCACCTTCCGCCGTCGTAAAAACCTCCTGATATCCGGTCGGTTTAAAACCCAAGCGTCCAAAGCTCCTCCGTCCCGCTTCCGTAACCGTTAGCGCTATCATCGTCAGCATACCTCCTTTTTTTACCAAGCTTTTTTTTTGGAGTGAGGGCGGTTATTACCTGAAAAGCCAATAATCCTCCATTCCTTCCTGGTCGCGACGGCTATGACTTCTTGCAGTGCGTACTCCGCAAACCCCCTTCCCCCAAACCATGATGATGGTAGTGTGTCGGAGTTGAAGCGCTCGATGTGAAAGACATGTAGACCGACCTCACTCTCCACAGAATGACCGGTGTCCGGTCTGAAGTTGTTGTTGGGTTGGGGGAACATGGACAGCTCAACCTCAGGCTCCTTCAGCTTGCCCACGAGCAAATCTTGCCAGTGCTCCCTCAATAGTGGCAGAGCGATAACCATGCCGACTACATGTCCTTCTGAAGAGGAACTTTCGGGAGAGAAAGAGATGGATAGCTCTGGACACGTCGCTACCCAGCTCGCCAGCCGGTCGAAGGTGAGTGGGGCAGGGTACATCTCCTGGTCGGATGCATAAATCCTGCGGAGCGTGTCCGAGTCGTCGTCTGTCAATGCCGCCCGACGTAATCCATTGCATCTGCTTTCTGATGCCATATTGTATGTAGGGGGGTGTAATGAGCATTGACCACATGTATTTTAATAATGGGAGTTTTGGTCGGTCGCGTGTGCGTGAGGTAGTAAGGTATTGATTGCTGTGTGGTGAAAGACTGAAATCGCGCGGTTTACCTTCCATATTATTAGTCTAGCCTCCACCCCAAGTACCTACCTTAAGCTAAATACTATGGTCTATGTACTAGCGGGTGCTGGGAAAATATGTCCGGGACCGCACACCACATGGGTGACTACATAACTTCTAAGAATCGAGAAGTTTTGCAAGAGGAATAGGATAGAATAGAACAAAGCCGATGTGAAAAGGGTTGTGACCTTTAAGTATTATTAAAAGAGGCAAAAAATTGCTCAAGAGGTTCCGGTAATGCCCACAATCAGAATCGAATGACCTTATCATTATCCTAGTACTACTAGTGATACGCTATACCACTTAGCCATGCGGGCTGATTGGTTCGTTACCGTTGGATTTCATTAGCCCTGTTCCCTTGCATCTGCATTTGATCTCAGAGAAAATCTCAGCAAGTATTGCAAAGATGGAGTTTTTGCTCATAGTCACCGGTGGTTTATGAATCGGCAACGTGGTCGCCGGCATGAGCATGAACGGTCTCCGCGGAGCATGCGGTGGTAGCTACACCATGTGCTCTGGCATTCGAAGCAATGTCACGACACAGCTCCTTTCTTGTGCCTGTTGTAGTAACTTGCGGTGTGCTGCCTGATGGACTACAGTCTACAGACCACCCTTGATCTTGGACACGGTAAATGGCGCATGTTGTGTGGCTTTTATTATCAGTTATCAATTCCCCTTTCATATTCGTTACGCGGAGTATCTGAGCGGGGTGTACCTCCCTAGCCGTTGGGTCGACGAGCCGACGACGGCGTTCTGGTTGCGTCTGCACGCGACCAAACACCCCCCATTTTGCGACTTGATAGTCTCATGTCGTGTTGTGTTTCTCTGCTCAAGTCGTGTTGTGACGCGGTTTTTCCAATTCCTTGGATTCGGGAGATGATACGTGTGTCAAAATCATAGAATAATTGGTAGAGCAGTAGACAGAAGACCGAGGAGCCCGCAAAGAGAAAGGGATAGCACAGATTGATACAGCAAAAATAAGAGGGCAGAACAGAACAAAAAAAGAGAAGGCGAAGTTGAACGCCGGGAATTGAGCCCGACGTGGGGGTCGAACCCACAACCTTGAGATTAAGAGTCTCACGCTCTACCGATCTATGATGATGTTAGTTTGTTGACGAGGGATGTTTTTGCGAGTGAGCGGGTTACTGACTGAGCTAGCCGGGCGAAGATGAAAGAATTTGAGTGTTAGTTGTGCTTGTGGGCTAGGGTAAGCAGTTGGCTTGTGTGGGGAGAAAGAAAGAATTTGACAACGGAACGGGTTTGTTCGAAACCAAACTGGAGACCTCCCAAGGTGGCTGAACCTGGGCAGACCTTGTTGGGGACGGGAGCTGGGCTAGAAAACTCGGTCAAAAAATAACGGGCCCGTAAAACAAGGGATGGGCAATCAATGACGGGTAGCTCCACTCCGCCCGGCAAGCCCCATCCGTCATGCTTGAAGTTTAATAACGAAAGTTTAAAACAGCCTGCCGGATGATTTTGGCCGACCACAGCTAGGTGAAGAATCAAGCTTGTCGATCTCCCAGCCCGAAATGGTGACGAGATGAGGCGAGATCTGCTCTACTTTATTACCATCTCCTAGTGTATATGGATGCAGACAGACACATACGAGGCCTGCCGTCTGTAACCTTTATCATTTCCGTGTAGACATCATGGCGGCGCGTCAGTATTCAGTAAACGCTCTGAACGCTCCGCTGAGGTCGGGTTGCTTCGGATCATGGTCTGCTCCCTCATTTGCTCGAACACGAGAAAATGGCCATATGGAATCCTGATTTGATTTTTCATTGCTTTTTTTGACTGGGCGTGGGCAGTTGGTCTGACCATCTCATGATGCTCGCAGCTCAGCTCAATGCTCAGGTATCGCCGCCCATTTTCCGAGTTTGGGGTCCATGCAATGCAGAACACAATATTCCCTCCCCTTTCCTTCAGTTGACGACGGCCTTACTCGGGAATGTTTGCTCGTTGTGCAGCTGAAATGACTGCGTATGCATAAAGAAATGGCGTTCAGACGTGGCAGATTCAGCTTCAGCGAGTTTGCTATGAAGTGAGTGGCTTCTCGTTCTCGTGGCTTTCATGGCTTTCAGAGGGAAATGGCAGAATCAAGTTATGGGAAACTTTGAAACCCATTGCCTTTGTTAGGTTGCACACAACGGTACCTGCTCTCGGAGAGCCAACAGGATGACAACATCTTGTGTCCCGATGTTGCAATGCATGCAACGCAGTGCTTCCGAAATCATGCTTTTGTGAGCACTCTCTACGCTCTGTCATCTCCCGGAACCAACAGTTTTCCCAATTGGGTCGGCCAACACACTGTAAGTTTATTTGCTGGGCGAGCTTCGAATCGAATGCATGGTTGAACGAAAGGGGTTGAGAGCTTTTCGACACAATTTCTGTAGGCAACCTGCCGGTCGTTTTCTCACTCGGCTTATCCGCCCAGCGCCACTCAAGCTTTGATGTGTTGGCTCCCGTCACGGCCCCTGTCCGGCACAGCAACGGGACGTTCCATTTCTCGCCCCCTCTGAAGTTTGCCTCCTGGGCAGACGAGCGAACCAAATCTGTGAGAACGAAGGTATTGAAAGCCACCAAGTCAATGAAGTCAAGTTGGACAGCCATTGGGCCAGAAAGTCTTGAGGCTACCGGAATGATTTTGACCAAGCCCGGCTGGTTGCAGTTAATATAAAATTATGGAGGCGACATGCATCCATGACGTCTTGTCATAGGCTCCTGTGGACTGGAAGATACCGCAGTGGAACCATGCTCTGCAGGAGGCGGCCGATAGGGTTTGCCGTTTGAAGAAACCACTGAAACCAGAAACTGGCTCGTCCACACTGGCTCGTCCACTCTGGGACCTGCTTTGGAAGACGTTGAATTTCTGGACGATCTTCTCCTCATTCTGAAATCCGGTGGGCCGGTGAGTGCAGACGTCGCCAGTTGTGGGGTTGCAGCGCCATGCCAGCCGCAGCAGAGCGTGCATGCCCTTCTTCATTATTTTGTCGCCCGCGCCCTCGCCCACCAAGAGCTGGCGACGCATCGCGGGCTCTCAGGCTTCGCTTCGGCCAGGCGGCCATCGCTCGTTGGACTCGCTGTGGAATTCATTGGCTGGGTGCAGCTCAGCTACTGGACACTGGACAGTCGTTGAATTAGCCTATGCATACAACCCCTGGTATGCCGGGCCATCGCCGATCGTCAATCAAGCTCTAGGGTGCTATGTAAGCCGGCCTGGAGACGGGAATTTGGGTCGCGTTACACGTATAAGGAAGGCATGGGAGCCGTAATGAAAGTGCCAGGTGGTCTGATCTTGCCCCCGGTGGCTGGCTGATGCCTCGATTCGCGTCAAGATTCGGTGTGGAGACAGCGGGACGGGCTGCACTCCGCATCTGTCCAGCGGCTGGCGGTTTAGTACTACATAATGCCAGCTGTAGCGAAATAACCTTGCAAACCCTCCAGAATGCTACTGCAACCCTTCGGGCATTGGGAGAGTGACCATGTTTCCTTTTGGCACGACAAATAGCCGGTGATAACCGGATCAGAGATCCAATTATACGTGACGATCTTATGGTGAGGGATAGCCTGGACATTTCATCTACGCTAAAACTAAAAATAAGCGCTGGGTCCGGGGCGTCAAGGAACAATGTCTCAGATCTACAAGTGCGCTAGAACAGAGCCCCAGTCCCGCCAGTCTGAGCATAGTTTAGTATTAAGGTTCGGATGTTCGTTTCATGAAGCCAGCAGGGCATAGTGACGGAAGCTAGTGTACGAGACGCGGGGAGTCTAACCGCTCACTGTTGCTAGTGAAGCAGTCCCATCGAGAGCACTTTCCCTCAGGCAGCATAGTCGGAATGAATCGGACTGGGCAGCGCAAGCAAACACACCTTCCGCATGCAAAGGAATATGCCAAGCTTTTCGTGGCTGCAGGGGCGAGGCTGGGAAATGAGCACTCTGATTCGATAACCCCGCGTCAACATCGAACCATCTTTGGTACGTTGTCGGTGCAAGTGCCGATCTCTCTTCCATTAGCAAAATGCATGACCTACGAGACACATACCTGGGCGGTCAGCCACAAACCTTGTGATAAGTCTCAAGCCAGAAATATCGAAAACCTCCGGTAATTAGGCGGACTGAACCCTCCATCTTGGCATTGCCACTGTTCAAGTGACCCGACCACATCCTGACCATGAAGCCTACTCGCTGACGAATGCGTTATGTGTCAAGCTACATCGTCACAGCTGCAACGGTTTCGGGGGTGGGCGCTGCGACGGAAGTTTAATCTTGGGGCCGCGGGCGGCAACATCCGTTAACGACAGCCGCAAGCGTTTGATGTGCGCCAGTACTGTAATGGGACCTGAGGCCTTAACCGAGAGCTGCATGGTCAGCTAAGGAGACCAAGCTAACGCCTCAGATATGCGTCTTCGGTCCGACAAAAGAAAGTGAGAAAGGCTTGTGTCTCGCAGAATCTTCTGGCTGTCTTCTTCTTTCCTTGGACGATCGACACTCTCCTTTCCCTGTTTTGTCAACTGAGCCCAGACAACGCAGCACCAATTACTTTGAATATGTGGATGGGTGCAGAGGCGATGATGGAACTAGGTGACATCCGTCGTCAACCTGGCCGCTGGCCCACGGCTAGCAACCTTGGCTTGGCGTAGGACTCGAGCCGCATCAAAGCAAACATTCGTGTCTTTTGTTGGCCTCTTCATCTCCGCTGAAAGCCACCTACGCCCAGCTGCATCTCGAGCTTCAGATGAGGAAGGCACGATGACGATCAACTAGACGACGACCCCCTCGAGCGAGTGGAACACGGAGTCGACGATCCTTGGCCAAGAACAACTCAGCCGCGGAGAGATAGTTTCGAAATCAAGGAAATATCCACGAAAAAAGGGGGGCAGGGCGGGCAAGGCGGCAAGCGTGAAGAGAGGAGCAGGAGGTTCGCCGACATCATCACGATCGACAGGAGACAAGAGACAAACACAAAGGCATCCGACGACGTCAGCGGGCATCAAGAGAGCAGGAAAATGTCTATATAAACCACCTTCATCTCCCGACATTCTCGACTTTTGAATTCCATCAGCATCCAGCAGTCCAACACAGCACCCAATCCAAAGTCCACTACCAAGCACTTCAAACCCTTCAAACAACTCTTACAAAACTTCACAGTTTTCCAAACAAACCCCAAACCCATCAAAATGCAGTTCTCCACCATCTTCACCGTCCTCGCTGTCGCCATGACCGCCACCGCGACCCCCGTTGAAAACCTCGTCGCCCGCAACGGCGGCGGTGGCAGCACCAGCACCCCCAGCTGCTCCAACAACCAAAAGGCCGTCTGCTGCAACTCCCTCCTCGGCGTCCTCGGCTGCGCCGTCAACATCCTCGGCGGCTCCTGCTCCGGCACTGCTTACTGCTGCAGCACCGACGCTGCTCCTGTACGTCTTGACCACCTTTGCCCCTACGCAACATACACCGATGACTAATACTGTTGGTTCTAGGGAACTCTCATCAACATCCAGGCCCTGAACTGCGTCGCTATCTAAGAACCTGAATCTCAGGGGTAAAAAGGGGCAACCTCACATCTTTCTTCTCCTCTCGTCAACAACCAACAGCATCAGCCAGCCACCAGCGCGCCAGCAACAACACAATTCCATCCATTCAGCACATCACGACAAGAAACAGTTGAACTATGGGATTGCAGTGAGAGAAAGAGAGTTAGGGAGAGCCAGAGGAAGACACGACACAAGGGAACTGGGGGTAGGAACCGGGAGCGCGCCGCTGATGGGAAAAGGAGGGGAGGGAGAGTTATATCTAAATCTTTGTCTGTCCAGGCCTGGGACACACGCTCCTTAATTAGCTTCGTTTCTTTAGCAGACCGTAATTGAACTTTCTTATGCCGGCTACTCAAAAGTCTCTTTCTTTCTTACTTTGACAGTGAGAAAAGTGGCGTTGAAAACCTGCAAAACATGACTGTGGCCCGAGTGATGAATTGTTCGCAGACGACCACAGACGAAAGTTCCTGTGTGCAGTCACAGACTTCCAGTGTCAACACATTCAGACCATCACGGAATTTCTCTCCTCTCTATTGAGCTACGGGACTCTCTAAATGTGAGAAAGTCAGCTTTGCAGATACAAGA